GAAGTGAGAGGGGAGCTGTTGCATTGGGGTAAATTGTAGTCAATGTCATGAGACAAAGTGTATGTGAACTGCTGTATGGAAAATGAATTTGCTCTGTAAATTTTCACCCAAATCACAACTAAGAAAAGAAAAAGAAAGAAAAAGAAAAAGCAACTATCAGAGATCTGCATACATTCAACACTCATGGATAGGACAATTGAACATTGTGAAAATGTCAGTAATACCCAAAGCAATCTATACTTTCAATGCAATCCCAATTTAGATTCCATCAACATCCTTTAAGGATATGAAAACACCAATCGCTAATTTTACATGGAACGGAAAGAGACCTCAGATAAGCAAAGCATTACTGAAGAAGAACAACAATGTAGGAGGTCTCACACTCCCAGATCTCAAAACCTACTATACAGCCACAGGAGTCTAAACAGGCTGGTATTGGTACAATGACAGACAAACAGACCAGTGTAAAAGAATTGAGAATGCAGAAATAGATCCATTGACCTATGGTCAGCTGATTTTTGACACAGGGCTAAAATCCATTAAATGGGGAAGTGATGGTCTCTTTAAGCAATGGTACTGGGAAAACTGGATATCCATCTAAAGAAAAATGAAACAAGATCTGTACTTCACACCATACAGAAAAACTAACTCCAGACAGATCAAAGACTTAAATGTGAAAGTTAAAACTGTAAAGTTCATCAAAGAAAAAATAGCAGCAACCCTAGGGGCCCTAATTCATGGCATAAATAGACTGTCAACCATAACCCAAAATACACAAACTGCAGAAGATAAACTGGATGATTGGGACCTTCTAAAAATTAATTTTTTGGTGCTTCAAAAGGCTTTTCCAAAAGAGTAAAAAGAAAACCTACAGATTGAGAAAAAGTATTTGGTAATGATGTATCTGACAAGGGCCTTATCTCTAAAATTTATAGAAAACTCCAAAGCCTCAATATCAAAAAGACAAAAATTCCAATTAAAAAATCGGCAGAAGACATGAACAGATGGCCAACAAACACATGAATAACTATTTGTGATCATTAGTCATTACAGAGACGCAAATCAGAACAACAATGAGACACCATATCACCCCAGCACTAACAGCAAAGTTCAACAAGACAGAAAATAACAAATGCTGGAGAGAAATGTGGTGGGACTGTAAAATGATACAGCCATTGTGGAAATCAGTATGGTTGTCCCTTAAAAAGTTGAAAATAGAAGTGCCATTTTATCCAGCAATCCCATTACATCCAGCAATCCCATTACTATGTATATATCCTAAGGAAGAGAGAGCTACTACATAAACAGATTTATGCACACCCATGTTCATCACAGCAGTATTCACAATAGCAAAGAGATGGAAACAACCTAAGTGCCCACCACAGAGGAATGGATAACCAACCTGTGGTATGTACACACACTGGAATATTATGCAACACTAAAGAATAACGTAGAATCTGTGAAACACTGTGTAATGGGGATGAACATGGAGGATACTATGCTGAGGGAAATAAGTCAATCACAGAAGCACAAATTATGTATTAGTCCACTACTGTAAAAAAAAATCAAGGAAAGGTTTACATATGGAAATAAACTTTCTTTGTTGGTTACCAGGGATGGGAGGGAAAATTTCTCGATAGGTTAATACAACCTATCTAGAAATTTTCCCTCCCATCCCTGGTAACCAACAAAGAAAGTTTATTTCATATATATATTGTGTTGGTAAATTAGATACCACTCCAGGACAGCTTTGATCAGGAAAATGAAAAATAAGACATGTTGGCAAGGATGCCGGGGAACTGGAACCCTCTTGCATTGCTGGTATGATTATAAAATGGTGAAGCCGCTGTGGGAAACAATTTCATGGTTCCTCAAAAAGTTAAACATAGAATTAACATAGGCTCCAATAATTCCACCCTTAAATATATATCCAAAAGAATTGAAAGTGGGAACTCAAACAGATACTTATACATCAATATTCACTGCAGCATTATTCAGAATAGTCAAAAGATGGAAACAACCCAAGTGTCCGTCAACAGATGACTAGACAAATAAAATGTGTTATATATATAAAATGGGAGCTCTGGTAGCATAGTGGCTAAAGCACTTGACTGCTAACCAGAAGGCTGGCGGTTCAAACCCACCAGCCACTCCTTGGAAGGAAGGTTGGGCAATCCTACTCCCGTAGTGATACTGCCTCGGAAACCCAAGGAGGGGTCGCTATGAGTCGGGTTTGACTCGACGGCACATAACAACAACAACAACATATATATAAAATGGCATATTATTCAATCACAAAGAGAAATGAAGTTCTGATATATGCTATGACATGTTCGAACCTTGAAAACACTATGTTGAGTGATCTAACTCAGACACCAAAGGACAAATATTATATGATCTCACTTATATGAAATATCTAGAATAGGCAGATCAACCCAGATAAAAGTTTATTGGCATTTACCAGGGATGGGTGGGAAAAGAAAAGGGGAAGTTATTGCTTCAGGAGTTCTGAGTTTCTGTTAAGGGTAATGAATAAAATTGGAAACAGACAGTGGTGAAGGTTACATAACATGGCTAACATAATACATATATTGTACACATAAAAATGGTTGAAATGGCAGATGTTTTGTTATATATACTTTACCACAATAAAAAAAAATAAAGTAGTATGGAATTTTGCTATTTCCATAAAACATTACTATAAAGGTTTGCAAGGTACCATAATTCAATTCACTTGTCATACTGGGTACCAAAGCAATAGAACAAAGTGTAAAATCCAACGATCTTAATGAGATTATACTATGTAAAAAAAAAATAAAAATGTAAATAAGAACTACAGTTTCTAGTGTATCACTAGTATTAAATTAAGGTTTAAAATTTTAACATGTTCACAAACAACAGAAAAAGATGTTCTTCAATAAGTTCTGATGGTAAAAGAGACTTTATTTGGGCAAGAGCCAGATAATTGGGCAACAGAGAAAAAAAACAAAACCCCTCTTTTGTTTTAAAGAAAATTTAACTTGTTCTTTTCAAGGCCCATAACAGATATATTATTTGCCAATTAAATATATATCTTCATTGTTTTAAGGTTTTTTCTAGATTATTTATCTAGCCAAATAGAAGCTTTGAGTTACTGATTCCAGGTGAACCAACCTTTAGAGCCAATTCATATGTGGCTGAACTCCAGATATCTCTTTCTCTCATTAACTGTTTAATATCACTCTCCATTCTTCCTCTTTGCAATGTATATAAATCATGATATTCTTCTACAATTCTAAAAGGAAATTAAGAAAAAGTGATGTAGACACATTTTTAAAAATATTTTTAAAATCTAAGGTTTTAGAATAATAAATTATTCTAAAAAAGATAATTAGTTCCTTTAAAATTTACCATAATGTAATTATGGTATATTTTCTAGATATATTATTAACATTTTATATACAGTGACATAAAAAAATTCACATTTCATTTATGAATCTTATAAAACTTGTAGTGAAAGTAAAAATCCAATATATTGTTCCCTGTTCTGAACATTTTTTATCTTATTCTTTTCTTTATCTCTTCAGTATGATTCTCATAACATAGTATCCCAAAAGAATACTACTACTATATCTAATGAAAAATTCAGAATACAGGTGGCAGTAATAGAATAGTTTTATTGCTAAACCCTTTTCTCATAAAATTAGAATTCTTTATTAAAAGCACAAAGCACAATTATTATAAGCTACTATATTTTAAAATTATATACAATTAGAATAAGATTTGAAGACATTCTCTCCTGACCACCTAAAAGCTTATTATTTTTCCTTTGTGTTTACCAGAACATACTTTTTCCTTCTAACTTACCCTGAAGCTTCTTAGAATCAAGAGCTCTTATGACATTAAATAAAAGCATAGAAGTTGTAAGTGACCAATAGCATTTCACAAATCTTTTGAAATACTCCCTCATAAGGAATGTTAAGTTTAAGAATTAAAGGCCAGTGATGAGGAATTCAGCAGAAGTTCTCAAAGCTTTATTCTATTGGTAGGTTTCCACTTATTCAAAATAACTGAGAAGAAATTAACTACCCTAGGTGTAACACATGTGAATGTACGAATACACATTTTATTTAGGTGATTATATATAAAAATCCATTGAGGTATATACCCTTAAGATTTGTGGACTTCACTGTATGAATGTTAAGCCTTAATATTTAAAGAAAATATTAATGACCCTAGTTTAAATGGCAATAGAAAAAAAAATTCAGAAATAATCTCAATGTCCAACAAAAAGGAAATATCCAAATAAAATATAGTGCAGCTCTATGGTGAAAACACTGTGAGTCTAATTAAAGATCATATCCTCAATACTTTGGTACATGGGGGAAAAAAAAACACATTTTAATATAAAATTAAAAAAATTAAATGATAAAATCATATATTCAGTTTAATCTTTTTAATAAGGAGCATGATGGATTCTCCTTATTTTATTATTTACATGTGTATATTTCACAAATGTTCCATAAAATTACTTACTATCAGAAAAAATAAAAATTTCTAACCACAAAAAATAAATGAACCATCCTACTTTGTTGTTGTTAGGTGCTAACGAGTCAATTCTGACTTATAGCAACTCTATGTACAACAGAATAAAATGCTGCCCAGTCCTATGCCATCCTCACAATCCCTGCTACACTTGAGCTCATCATTATAGCCACTGTGTTAATTCATCTAATTGAGGACCTTCCCCTTTTTCTCTGACCTTCCATTTTATCAACCATGATATCCTTGTCCAGAGACTGACTGGTCCTTTCTACAGTATGACCAAAGTAGGTGAGATGAAGTCCGGCCAGTCTCGCTTCTAAGGAGCATTCCAGTTGCACTTTCGCCAGTATAGATTTGTTCATTCTTCTGGTAATCCATGGTATTTTCAGTATTCTTTGCCAACAGCACAATTTAAAGGCATCGATTCATTTTCAGTCTTCCTTATTCATTGTCCAGCTTTCTCATACATATGAGCTAATGAAAATACCATGGCTTGAGTTAAGTGCACCTTAGTCTTCAAGGTGACATTTTTGCTTTTAAACACTTTAAAGAAGAGGTCTTTTGTAGCAGATTTGCCCAATGCAATATGATGTCTCATTTCTTGACTGCTGGTTCCATGGATTTTGATTGTGGATCCAAGCAAAATGAGAGCCATGACAACTTCAATCTTTTCTCCAATTATTGTGATGTTGCTTATTGGTCCACTTGTAAGGACTTTTGTTTTGTTTATGTTGAGGTGTAATCCATACTTAAGACTTCAGTCTTTGATCTTCATCAGTAAGTGCTTCAAGTCGTCTTCTCATTCAGCAAGCAATGTTGTGCCATCTGCATGTCGCAGGCTGTTGATGAGTCTTCTTCCCAATCCTGATGCGCACTCATCTTCATACAGTCCAGCTTCTTGGATTATTTGCTCACTGTATAGATTGAATAAGTATGGTGAAAGGATACAACCCTAACACACAATTTTAAACCATGCAGTATTCTTGGTTTTAAATTATGCAGTATTTCTTTGTTCTGTTTGAACAACAGCCTCTTGTTCTATGTACAGTTCCTCATGACCATAATTAAGTGTTCTTGAATTCTTATTTCTCACAATGTTATCCATAATTTCTTATGATCCACACAGCCAAATGCCTTTGCATAGTCAATAAAACACAGGCAAACACTTTCTGATTATTATTTGCTTTCACCTAATATCCATCACAATGATATCCCTTGTTCCACATCCTCTTCTGAATCCAGCTTGAATTTCTTGAAGTTCCCTGTCAATATACTGCTGCAACTGGTTTTGATTTTTATCTTTGGCAAAACTTTACTTGTGTGTGATATTGCTGATACTGTTCAATAATTTCCACATTCTGTTGGATAACCTTTCGGTGGAATGGGCACAAATATGGATCTCTTCCAGGTGGTTGGCCAGGTAGCTGTCTTCCAGATTTCTTGGCATAGATGAGTAAGCACTTCCAGCATTGCATCCATTTGTTGAAATGTCTCAATGGGTATTTTGTCACTTCCTGGAGCCTTGTTTTTTTTATCAATTCCTTCCGTGCAGCTTTGACTTCTTCCTTCAGTACCATTGGTTCTTGAATATATGCTACCTGCCGAAATAGCTGGATATCAGTGAATTTTTTTTTTGATACAGTGACTTGTGTATTCCTTCCGTCTTCTTTTGATGCTTCCTGCATTATTCAATATTTTGCCTATAGAAGCCTTCAATATTGCAAATCAAGGTTTGAATTTTTTATTCACTCTTTCTGCTTGAGAAACACTGAGCATGTTTTTTCCTTTTGGTTTTCTAATTTCAGGTCTTTGCACATTTCATTGTAATACTTGGCTTTGTCTTCTTGATCTGTCCTCTGAAACCTTCTGTTCAGCTCTTTTATTTCATCATTTCTCCCATTTGCTTTAGCTACTCTCCATTCAAGAGCAAGTTTCAGAGTCTCTGATATCCATTCTGGTTTTCTCTTCTTTTCCTGTCTTTTTAATGACCTTTTACTTCCCTCATATATGATGTTCTTGATGTCATACCACAACTCATCTGGGTCTTTGGTCATTAGTGTTCAATGCATCAAATCTGTTGTTCAGATGTCTCTAAATTCAGGTGGGATATACTCAAGGTCACATTTTGGCTCTCCTGGCAAGTTTTAATTTTCTTTAGTTTCAACTTGAACTTGCATATGAGCAATTGATGGTATGTTTGGCAGTCAGCTCCTGGCCTTGTTCTGACTTCCTGAGTTTCTCCATTGTTTCTTTCCACATTTGTAGTTGAATTGATGCCTGTGTATTCCATTTGGCAAAGTCCCCATGCACAGCCACCATTTATGTTCCTGAAAAGGGTATACGCAATGAAAATGTTGTTGGTCTTGCAAAATTCAATCTTGCAACCTTAGGTGTCATTTCCATCACCAAGACCATATTTTCCAACTACTGGTATTTCTTCTTTGTTTCCTAGTTTTGCATACAATCACCAGTAATAATCAATACATCTTGTTTGCACGTTTGGTCAATCTCAGACTACAGAAGTCTTCAATTTCTTCATCTTTTGCTTTGATGTTTAGTGCATAAATTTGAGTAACAGTTGTATTAACTGGTCTTCCTTGTAGGAGTATGGATATTATCCTATCACTGACAGCACTGTACTTTAGGATAGACTTTGAAATTTTCTTCTTAACAATGAATGGGATGCCATTCCTCTTCAATTTGTCATTCCCAGCATAGACTATATGACTGTCTGATTCAAAATGGCCGTCCTACTTTAGAACCATCAATTTTAAAGAAAATGAGATTTCCTTCTCTCTTTTCCTCTTCTTCTCTGTGGATTTATGCTTTGCTCTTACAATTGACACTTGCACAAAAGGAATTACAGCTTATTTCCTAAATTAATTCAACAATTATCTGTTTAATGAAAACTATCTGCAATGTATTGTTTAAAACAGACCAAAAAGAAAAAAGAAAAAGAAGAAGCAACTCTGATGGTGCAGTGCCTAAGGCATTTGACTACCAACCAGAAGTTTGGTGATTCAAACCTACAAGCCACCACACAGAAGGAAGATGGGGCAATCTACTTCCATAAATATATACCTCCTTTTAAACCCAGTGGGGGTCACTATGAGTCAGAATTGACTCAATGTCAGTGGGTTCGGTTTTGGTTTAAGGCAGAGAAAATTCTGGTAGAAACGAAGTGTAAATAAATTTTTTTTTGAAAATTTAAATATCTTTAAATATTGTCTTTTACTCTGAGATGGGAATGCTATAGAATTTTGAGCATATAAATGACATTATCTGACTTTTTTTAAAAAAAAAGTAGATCATGTGGATATGTTGAAAACAGACTATAGTAAAATAAAGGCAAAAGTTAAAAAAAAAAATTGAGAGATTACTGTAATAACCCAGACAGGAGATAAAGGTGGTGGTAGTGAAAGTGGTGAAGATCTTGGAATATATTAATAAAGTACTGTTGATAGTAATAGCTAATGAACTGGATACAAAATGTGACAGAAAGAGAAGAATCAAGAGTGATTTCAAGATTTTTAGGCTGATAAACTGGAAAGATGAAGTTAGCATTAACTGTGATGGGAAAAGAGTTGGGGATCATTTTGTTTGGGGAAAAAACACGAATTGAACGTAGGCACATTAGGGATCTAAGTGGAAATTTAAGACAGTTGGATATATGAGTCTGGAATTCAAGGAGTTAAAGCTGCAGCCACAAATCTGTGAGTTGAAGGTATATAGATAATGGCATTTAAAGCC